TAATTCTGGAAAATTTATATTTTGACCCCTCCTTTTTGTTGTATCTTTTATATTTTGCCACCGTTGCCTTAGATTGGACCGTTTCGTTTATGTAATGCACCTTTATCTCCAGGCCCATTCGGTTTCTTAGCCTCAATAATTCTGTAGGACTTCTATATAGTCCTAAGGTGAGGCCGTGTTTCTTAATCTTTGGATTAAATTAGTTAGATAAATTCAATAATTAAGATATAGGATCTCACCTGAGGACCATATATAAAGCCCTCACTATAGAATGACTCTTCTTAGCCCTCACTTTTTCTTGTGTTTTTTCACTCCCTGCAGGCCCATTCGTTAGTTTCAAATCAATCCCTATAGGTGTAAGGGCATACAAGTTTAGGTGGTCTCGCCAATTATCCCATTTTTGGTCTTCTAGATATAAGAATTTCTCCATAAGCGACCTTTTGTTCGACTTTTAGGGGGTGTATTCAATTAAGATTTTAAAAGAGTTGAATGGAGTTATAAAGTTTATAGAGTTCAATATATTTCAATTGATTTCTATAAACTCCACATAGAGTTTGATTGAATTCCAAGATTGATTTTAATGGTGTTAGTTAGAGTTTTATCATAGATTTTAAAAGAGTTGATTAGAGTTCTAATTAGTTCATAGGAAAAAAAATTATATATGAAGATAATTTTGTTCTTTTTGTTTTGGCATGGACTAGATATATATAGATATTGTACATTGATAAAGATAAAGAAGCAAAACATAGAAAGAAAAAAAAAAAGGGATGACTATAGATCGGATGAACAAAAAAAAAATTAACAGCAACTATAATAAAATAAAATAATAATAACAACAGCAACCAGAAAAATGAAATAAGGAAAAGTTGAAAAAACGTAGAAAAATAAAACTTGTTTGATGTATAGCAGCAAATATTTACAGCAACAAATACGTTGATGTTCATCTATATATAATGATGGCAACAACAACAACTATTCATATTATGATGTACATCAATATATATGCTACTGTTCATCGATGTATAACAACAACAACTATTCGAACACACGATGAAAAATCATACATATATGAAAACATAGAAAAAGAAAAGAGATTTTTTATCTTAATTTGACAAGCACATATGTTCAAGGACTGGAAAGCGTAGAGCACGTTCAAACTATTCTAACGAAATCAGGCAACTCATTAATTTCTTCAAAATAAATTACTTTTTGAATAGATCTAAATTTTGTTTGACTTTTAAAAAGTCATAATTGAATACACCTAGATTTCGGTATATTTTTAATGTCAATTGAAATCTGAATTGAATACACCCAAACTTTTACAAACTCTTTTAAATTCTAAATTGAATACACCCAAACTTTTAAACTCTTTTAAAATCTTAATTGAATTAGTTCCTATCTTAATTGACAACAAAAAAACCGTCATGGAGGAAATTGAAAATTGAAAATTAGGTGATAGTTCAGGGGTAATTTGGCGGTTTACTCTTATGAATTTAGGGGCTCAAACAGCTTGACCTGCGGTATCAAGGTGTTCTTTGATGCACCTCAACGGGTGAGATTTAGTTGCATTTGGACCCTGGACTTAATTTCCAAGTTTAATGCTACCTTGATCATACCCAGCATATAAAGCTTATACCAGAACGGAATATCTTAGATTTGGCATTAAGTAGTAAGAAATAACACCATGAAGACAAGTATTGAATATGCCCGTCAAGGCCAAAAAGGAGCACCAAATAAGTATTAAGATTATAAAAAAATTGAGGTCAACAATCTACCAGTATTGAGCAAACCAAGCCGGAAAAAAATTTGAAGCACAAATTCAGAACTAATTGTTCTAGGCCTAACCACAAAAACAGTGACCACACAAGTACAAGAAAATTAAAAAGGCTGTTCATAATTAATTAGGCAGTGGATGCTTGTTGGGCTGCTTGCCTCTTTTTGGCCTCTTCGATGATAGTGAGCTTGATACCTTTTCCCTTAGGAAGACTTACCCATGGCTTCGTCCCCTTGCCAATGGTGAACACATTAGCCAACCGAGTAGCGAATTCATGGCCGGTGGCATCCTGAACGTGGATTGTCTCAAAACTTCCCTTGTGTTTCTCCCTGTTCTTGATTACTCCAACCCGCCCCCTGTTCCTTCCACCTGTAACCATGACCACATTCCCAACATCAAACTTAATGAAGTCAGTGATCTTGTTGCTCTCTAGGTCAAGCTTAATGGTGTCGTTGGCCTTGATGAGAGGGTCAGGGTAGCGAATGGTTCGCCCATCATAGGTGTTGATGTACGGGATACCCTTTTGCCCAAACTGCACTGACCGGACTTTGCAAAGTTTAAACTGCAGAGAAAAACCATCTCAAAATATCAGAAAAAAGCAAAAGTCCATTAGTTAACAAGATGAAATGCCGGATAGTTGCCTATATAAAACCACCTTGCATACTAGTACAGCACAGCCAATACTTGAGTTGAATTCAAGTTATCTACTTTGAAAATAAAATAAGGAAAAAGATATCCAGAGAACTTAAAGAAATAACCTTTGCCTCTTCATCCCTTATCGAGTGGAGACGGAACCGACCCTTTGTGTCATAGAGGAGACGGAAATTCTCATTTGTTTTGGGGATTGAAATAACATCTGCAAATCAGGGGGAATATAAGTTCTACAAAGTCAAAATTTATTGCCGTGAAATGGAGGGACACAGCTCCCAATACCAATGCGATTTTACAAATAGAACACATCCACAGAACATATGCAATTGAAGCAATTGAATACTGTTATATACAATCCTTTTGCTACTAAATACCCTAAAATCTAATGTTTCTTTCAAAGCACCGAACAACTGGTGAAATATGGGTGCCTAATTGTTCTCATGAAAATACAAGTCATATTGACAAGAAAACAGAACAAGGCCTAGAAGAAAAAGAAAAAGAAAAAAAAAATGATTCGGTTAGAAGATAGGATGAGCATACCCATGAAACCCGAAGGATATGTCTTGTCAGTCCTAACCTTCCCATCAACCAGAACATGTCGTTGCATCAAAATGGAAATGACCTCACGGTAAGTGAGAGCATATTTCAATCTGTTTCGTAAGATAATGACCAAGGGTAGGCATTCCCTGGACTTGTGAGGCCCAGATGAAGGCTTGGGCGCCTGAGGAAGAAAAATAAAAGAAGAATGTAAGGAGTAAAAATGGGAAATAAGGAGGATGCATGCACAAGCATAAACATAAAAAGGAAGACAAAGATAAGATCTTCAACTTACAAAGGCACCGCCAAGTTTGTCAAGCATCCAATGCTTCGGGGCATTGAGCCTCTTCAAATGCTTCTTCAACCCTCTTGCCTGCAAAAGCCACAAACATAAAGTTTAAAAACCCAAATGACCCCATTTGTAAAAGAGAATAAAACCCAGCCTGCAAAAAAAAAAAAAAAAACAATTCTTTTCGACTCTCTTGCTCTCAAATCTATACAGGAAATAACGTTATAACATCCAGAACCAAAACCAAGCAGCACAGCTGAAATTTGAGATTATTTCACTTTTCAGGCAATGCAGAAAATCATGAAAAGGGAATTTACAGTACAAAGCCGAAAGAGGTTAAAGACCCAACATGAAAATCTAGATCTGGGTATTACATATTATACGAATTTGAAAACGATAATAACAAGAGAAAAAATTCTATGACGATTGGGAAAAAGAGAAATAAAAACTAGGAGATAAAAAAATTGCAAAATGAAGGAAAAACAGGTGAGAGGGATGCAAGTACCATTTTGGGATTGTGAGCTTGACCTCCGGGAGAGTATCTGAGCCTCCGCAGCTATAGAGCTCTGCATACACTGCACAGAGAGATGAGGAGAGGGAGAGAGAGAGAGAGAGAGAGAGAGTAGCGCCCCCTAAAACCCTATAGAATTGGATTGCATGGTGTGCTTCAAGGGACTAACGGCTACTTGGGCCTTAACTTACTGCTCCACCTAAGCCCGGATCCGATTTTGGGTTGGCCCATTTGTTGGCTAGTCTTGCGAAAGTCTTGCGAATGCATTCTGTTTGAGATTGCTTTTTAACGCCAAAAATATGATTCACTTTAAAGTTAAGTAGTTTAAAGTGTTTGGTAAAAATAAAATGTTCTGATTATTTTAAAAGTAGTGGCCTTTTGACAACAACTTTTAAAAGCAGGCTTTGTGTTGCTTTTCAAAGCTGCTTTCAAAAGAAGCAGAGATTGACCTTTAATGATTTTTTTAATTTCCAAAATATCATCATTCATTTTAAAAAATGACACCACCTCCACTTCCACATCCAACTCCATCACCTCCACCACCTCCACAACCACCACCATCACCACCATTACCATCACCATATCCTCATCCTCTTCATCCTCCGCAACCACCACCACATCCTCATCTTCCTCATCCTTCGCCGCCACCACCACTACCATCATCTCCTCCACCACCTCCACCACCACTACCACCACCACCACCACCTCCATAACCAACACCACCACCCCCACCGCCGCCGCCACCATCACCTCCACCTCCACCTCCACAACCACCAACCCTACCACTACCACAACCACAACCACCAACTCCACCTTCATCACCACCACCACCTTCACCTCCATCTCTTTTACAACCACCTCCACTCCACCACCACAACATGATTAGCACATAACACTTTTAAAATCATGTCTATTTTAGTCATTATTCACAGTTACAACAATTTTATATTAAAATTTACCAAACGGTTTTGACACTGTTTTTTGTACTAACAACACTTCAAAAAGATTGTTTACTAAACATGGAGCTGTTTTACTTTACAGTTAATTATTTTCAAAGCACAGCAAAAGTAACTTTTTTTCTTTTCTTTTTTTAATTTTAAAAGTGGCAGCAATCCCAAACTGGACCTAAATGCTACTGACTTTAGGAGGTTGCAAATCTCTAGGAGTTGGAAACTCAACATGGCATTAATGGCACCAGCTGCCGCCTGCCACCTACTTCCTATTGTAATTAATATAAAGCTTGGTTAGCAAGCCTTCTCTACTTGTATAAATTCTGATGTTAGTAATGCAAATATATATAATTGAAATTAGAAACCTTTCTTCTCATACTCTCATTTTAGCATGGTATCAGAGCAATCAATTTCAGTTGCCTCTGCATAACCTTGTCCTTGCCTTGTCTCTACTTAACTTGCCCTTACTTTGTTTGCCTTGTATCTACTTAACCTTGCCCTTGTTTTGCTCCTACATTGTCCCTACCTCTGCCACTGTCTTTGTTGTGATAATAATCCTTATTTGTGTTCTTGTTTGCTTTGCTTTGCTGTGCACTTGATGTGCTATTGTTTGCGATATTTTTGCTATCTTCCGTTGCATTTACTTACTCATACTTCTCTCATGGGTGACGCCAACGACTCCACCAAGGCCGACTCCTCAACACCACCAGTCCGTTCCTCTCATGACAACTCTTCTCAAATTACTCCAGATAAGTTAGATGGGTTCAACTATTGTGCGTGCTCTCGTAGTGTTCGTTTGACCATCACTAGTCGTTGTATGACTAGTTTCATCAATGGTAAAAATCATGCCCCTGTCATTGATGACTTTAGCTATGACTCTTTGGATGAAGACAATTGTTTGGTGCAGTTATGGCTCCTCAACTCCATGACCAATAATGTACGTGCCATATTTGATCACTGCCCAATGGCTTATGCGGTGTGAGAAACAGCTCGGAATACCTATATTGTCACTTATAATAGCTCCAAGTTATACCAACTCCGTCGTCAGTTGGTTACCACATCTCAGAATGGTGAGCATGTGAATGTTTTCTATGAAAAATTACATTTAATATGGCAGAAAATCAATAGTCTCTGTCCTTGAAAGCATACCAATCCTGATGATGTGGCTCTTCATCAACAAGCACTTGATGATGATCATGTGTATGATTTCTTGGGAGGACTCGATCCCCAATTTGATCCAATTTGTAGTCGGATTCTTGCTATGAACCCGATTCCACCTGTCCTTGAAGCTTATGCACTTATGGTGGATGAAGATAATCGCCAACCTCTATGCTTGGCGGTGGAAGTGCTATGGGAGTCAAGCCCTATCAAGCACCTTATCGTGTGCCCTCTGGGTTGGGCCCTAGTCCCAAAACTGATGATGCGAAGCAGACTCGAAAGTGCACCCATTGTGGTGGTGATCACCTTGTTGAGAAGTGCTTTAAGCTCCATGGTTATCCCGAGTGGTGGGATGCACTCAAGACCCGCAACCCGGCTCCCAAGGCTGCTTGTGTTGTGACTACTGATGCTTCCCCATCTTATACCTTACTCTTAGACTCCAACCACGACTCACGTACATGCTCCACAATATGGATAATTGATACTGGTGTAATGTTCGGTTCATTTTTACACATGATTTTTCATGTTATTCACCTATTATTTTGAGTTAGTTCTTGATATTTTATAGCTTTTTACTTCCTTTTTGTGTTTTCTTAGATTTTACCTTGGTTAGAATGAAAATGAGCTAAAAATGCATTATTTGTTATAAATTCTGTTTTTGTTCATTTTCGTAGGTCAACTTCTTGGCCTGGGATCAACATGCTCTAGTGCTCGGATGAGGTGAAGATCTTCATGAAACTTGTTCCAATGGATGTTAACTACAACATATCCAAATTTGAGCTCCATTGGACAAGTATTGCCTATCCAACCAATCCAGCATGTTACCACAGCTCTGGAAATCCGAAATTGTCCAGCTTTTACCTCCAATGTATCACTTGATTCTTCTTATTACCATAACACTTGGTAACAAGAATTTACCTTAATAAAAGAGATATTTTCTGAGGCAAAGAGCATATTTTCAAGGACAAAGCTTCATCATGGCAAGGGGACAATGGGTGAAGGCTTTAGAGGAAAGAATGAGTTTTATATTAAAAGTGTGAGCTGGAAATGATGGGCAAAGGAGCAAAGGGAAGTGCAATCTGAAGTGGGAGAGGTTTTGAACGTGGGAAACCTATTCATTCTATTATTCTACACATTGAGAGCAGATTTTGGAGAGCTTGAAGCAAGGAGAAAGCCAAGGTGCAGCCAAGCAAAGTGGAGAAGAAAGCTTCCACCATTGA